ACTGTCATACTTCTAAGGCACAGTGGAGTGTGGATCATTCTGATTAAATTAGACGGCAAAACATTGTACAACGACATTATAGTCGTGCTGAAAGAATATATGCTGACATTACCAGAAGTACTCATCACAAGATTTCCAACTCACAGGAAAGCAAGAGTCAGGAAAAAATAGAAAATTTAAAATGAAATATCTCATGTCAGCAAAATGTCTTCACAAAAATAAAAAAATGAAAAAAAAGGTCTTCAACCTTTTTGCAGATAAGTACCCCAACTGGCTCATTTGTTAACTAATCAAGGAAATCCATTTACTAATGGCTAGTTAATTAAATCATGTTTGGTTGCTGGAGAAATGTGTCCAGAAGAAACAAACTGCTTAAAATTAGTATTAGCCTTTGCCATGGAGGGTTGCTGTCCGAGTTGAGGACAATGGGAGTGACAATAATCAATTAACACAAATGATGTGGAGTGATTTTCCTTGGGTCTTGGTGAATCAACATGGGTTGCTGATTCTGCTCAGTTGTGGATTGTTCAAGGAATCAATATTGAGTCTTTAGTGGGAACTGAAGAATTGTGTGAATATCCTGACTTGCCCCCCTACACAGCAGTCAATGGTTCAGCAATGGTAAGATTTTTTTGCAATCTTTTGAGCTTGGGGCTAGGTTTGAAGTTTTTTTCAAATAGAAGAACTGCCCACAACCACTGTTAATTACTTTGGAATTAGCTTTTGCTACAGACTTGATAATGTTTCTTAATAAATTCAACCTAAAATTATGAGGCAAAACAGTGCTAATACTCAAAACTTATGGTAAAGTCATTTAGATGACTCATGTCTCAATCACAAGTAATATGAAATTACTTTATGTACTTCCCATGCTGTCAAAACTGAAAACAAAAAGCAAGATCTCCATTCTCCATTTGCAACAGATGTATTTTCTGAGCTTAAATGACCATTCCAGCAGAGTTTTTCTGAACTCAATGCAAGAACAAAGGTAATTTCAAAGTACATTTAACTGTGTGGTTTAGGAAAGTGATTTATCGGTGCTTGCTTTGGCAGCACATGTATAAAAATTGGAATGATACAGAGAAGATTAGCATGGCTCCCGTGCAAGGATGACATGCAAATTCATGAAAGCTTCCATATTTTTAATTTAAAAATTTTTAAATAATTAAAAAATGGTTTTAAAATTAAAAAAAGAAAGTGTAGGCTGGGCGCGGTGGCTCACGCCTCTCATCCCAACACTTTGGGAGTCTGAGGCGGGCGGATCATGAGGTCAGGAGTTTGAGACCATCCTGGCCAATACGGTGAAACATCATCTCTACTAAAAATTACAAAAATTAGCTGGGCATGGTGGCGCGTGTCTGTAGTCCCAGCTACTCAGGAGGCTGAGGCAGGAGAATCGCTAGAACCTGGGAGGCAGAGGTTGCAGTGAGCCGAGATTGCACCACTGCACTCCAGCCTGGGTGACAAAGCGAGACTCTAGCTCAAAAACAAAAACAAAAAAAAAAGAAAGTGATTTATTGGCAATGACATGCTAAAAGCCTGTCAAAAGAAGAATCTAATAGAATTCTATGAATACCTTTCCAAGCAATGAATATGTTCAGTTTAAATTATATGTTCCTGAATTGATATCAGCATTTGGCATTATGTGTCTGTGTAAAAAGACATTTGAAATATATAAAGATGTAAAGCCTCATCACATTAATAGACGAACATTTGCAATTTATTTTGATAATAGGGAAGACTAACTCTGAACACCAATTAAGCAAAACTATCATTCCCTTAAAAGAAAATTTCATTTTTCTCATTGGTAGAACTATATTATAAAAAGGGTGTCCTCAATTTTTATTATATTTTGAATTTTGTCAATAAAAGCTTTATGGCTTCTCTTTCCTCTTTGTTATATAAGTACCCATATAATATCTTGATTTTGATTCTTGGCTACAAAGCCTGAAATATTTACTATCCGATCCTTTACTGGATAAGTTTACCAAGCCCTGGAGTCTAAAGGACTCGAAAGTCTTAGGCTTCCTTAGAGCTCTTTTCAAGGCCCCATGTCTTTCTCATTCTTCACTAGATCCTTCCCTCACTTTACTACCCATGATTTCATTATGATCCATAGGAAATCTGCCAAATGTATACCTTTAGCTTAGAACAAATTAATCAAATTCATCCTCACTACCTCCATTCTAGTCCAAGCTACCAACATCTCTCACCTGAACTATTGACACAGCTTCCTCAATCCTCAGCAGCCAGACTGACCTCTCAGTACGGAAATCTGATCCCCTCTTCTGCCCATCTCCACAAAGTCTCTCAGTGGAATGGATTGTCTCTTCCAATAATCACAAATGGTAAAAATCTGTTTTAGCGAAGTCTTTTTATAAGCTATATTGTACAGAAAGGTTGCTTGAGTGGGTTTCGTGCGAATGCCCAGAAGAATTTATCTTCGAGTCAAAGCTGAGGCCCTTGGGTTAGCACTTTCATCCACACACACCCTGCCCTCAGACTCCAAGATACGGGGACCTGGCTTTCCAAAGGACCTCGGAAACTCTTTCCAATTCTGCCCCTGCAGAAACTATTTCCTTAACCAGAATTGCTGGCATTTCATTGTACACAGGATAGGAACAAACTTTGGCATAGGTTAGAATGTCTTCAGTTCTGTGACATGCTGAGAAAAGAATTTCTCCAGCTATTCTCTGCTGCTCTGGTGCATCAACACTTTTTCTATTAGACATTTCCATTAGTGTGCAAATGCAGTATTATTGCACCCACTTTAAAATGGGGGAAAAAAACCCTCTCTTGACTTCACTTTCACCTCTAGCTACTGCTCTATTCTTGCACTCTCTGCAGAAGAACTCTTCACAATAGTCATCTATCCTCCCTGTCTGCAGTTCCTCTCATCCCGTTCTCTCCTGAACCTACTCATTCCGGCTTCTACCCCCACCTCTCTAAATAAACTGCCCTTGTTACAATTACTAATGTTCCCTACATTGCAAAATCCCAGGCAAATATCCCTCATTCTTACTTCACTGATCAGCAATATTCAACAGTGGACCCCTTTTTTTCCCCCATAAAACATTTTCTTCCTCTGGTTTTCTTTTTTTTTTTTTTTTGAGACGGAGTCTCACTCTTGTTACCCAGGCTGGAGTGCAGTGGCGCGATCTCGGCCCACTGCAACCTCTGCCTCCCGGGTTCAAGTGATTCTCCTGCCTCAGCCTCCCAAGTAGCTGGGATTACAGACATGCACCACCACGCCCTGTTAATTTTGTATTTTTGCTAGAGATGGGGTTTCTCCATGTTGGTCAGGCTGGTCTCAAACTCCTGACCTCAGGTGATCCGCCTGCCTCAGCCTCCCAAAGTGCTGGGATTATAGGCAAGAGCCACCGCGCCTGACATTCCTCTTGTTTTCATAATACCCCTCTCTCCGGGCTTTCCTCTTTCCTCAATGGCTGCTATTTCTCCATCTCCTTGGCTGGTTCCTACTGCCTTTAACCATTAGAGTGCTCCAGGGCTCAGTCTTTGGCTCTTTCTCTTAGATTCTGTCTATATTTTCTTTCTTGGGAATCTCATTCAGTCTTATGGCTTTCATTTCCATGTATATGACTCCCAAACTTATAACTCCAGTCCTGACTTGTCTACACTCATGTATTCAACTGCCTATTCAATGTCTCTGCTAGGCACATCCCAAACTGAACTTCTGATGTTTCTCCCAACACCTGCCTCTCCCTGAGTCTTCCTCTGTTTAGTTAAGGTAATTCCATCCCTCCAGTGGCTCAGGCTGACAACTGTGACTCCTCTCTTTCTCTCACACTTCATATCTAATCCACCAGCAGATCCATCTACCTTTGAAATATATTCAGAGTCCTACCACTTCTTGCCACCTCGGTTCTTCCCATCCTGGTCCCAACTACTGTCATCTCTCCCCTGGATTACTGAAAACACCTCCTCCTGATCTCTTTGCTTCTACCCTTGTTCCCTTTTAGTCTGTTCTCATCAGCAGCAAGAATGATCCCGTTAAAACAAAAGTCAGGTCATGTCACTCCTCTCCCTCCCAACTCACTCAGGGGAAGCCCGTTTGCTTACAGAAGTTCCACACCACCTGGGCCCCACTGCCACCCCAGCTCCAGCTCCAGCTCCTCTACCTCCCTTCCTCACTTCACTCCAGTCTCACAGGCCTCCTCGCTGGCCCCAGAACATCCCAGACAGACTTTCACTGTCGGACCTTTGCTCTTGCTTTCCTTCTGGAAGCCTTGTCCCCAGCTATCTCCATGAGTTGTTCCCCTGCCTCCTTCAGGTCTTTGCTTAAATGTGAGTCCTTCCCTAACCATTTTATTTAAAATTGCAGTCTTCACCCACCACTTGACCACCAGCCCTGACCACCACTAGAACTAAGGCAAATTAATTTTGAGTTTGCAGTTGTATGACTCAAATGTGGCCAGGATTTGAAAGGGGCTCTTGTAAGAGAGAACACCTGCTTGTATGTACGGCCAGAGGTCCGCAAGGCTCTGAACTTTCTCCTGTACCTGGGTACATGTCCCTCTCTTAGCCCAGAAATACAATTCTAAGCTCCATTTCTAGTTACAGGTAAACTACATTTCCTTTCTCCTAAAAAAGACTCCTAGTCTCCGTGTAGTTTCTTCTTTTGCTTTGTTTGTTTGTTTTTTGACATAGAGTCTCACTCTGTCACCCTAGGTTAGAGTGCAGTGGCATGATTTTGGCTCACTGCAGCCTCCACCTCCCGGGTTCAAGCGATTCTTGTGCCTCCGCCTCCTGAGCAGCCAGGACTACAGGCACACGCCACCACGCCCGGCTCATTTTTTGCATTTTTAGTGCAGACAGGGTTTCACCATGTTGGCCAGGCTGATCTCGAACTCCTGGTCTCAAGTGATCCACCTGCTTCGGCCTCCCAAAGTGCTGGGATTACAGGTGTGAGCCACCGCGCCTGGCACCGTGTAGTTTCTTCTGTTCCCCAGATTCATTTGTCCAAAGTATACCAGCATCAGCAATGTCTATCATGGTCTTTATTTCACTGAAGGATTTATTCAGATGGACCATCTCTCATGTTTTGGAGTCATTCTCCACAGGGAAACCCATCTTTAACATAGTTCTAAAGCAAGCGATCGCTTTTCAGATGCTCACTTTTCACTTAGGAAAGGTAGCTGCTCAAAGCCAGGAACTTGAGGGTGCAAGAGGTTGAGTCATTCTCACAGTATGTAGCAAACAGTGCAATGCAGAGAAGCTGGAGATAAGCAAAGGATGCCCAATCTATGCTTCTATAGAAGATCTATCAATTCAGAGGTGTGGCTCAGGGATTTGGCCCCCTTGTGGTGGGCAGGAACTGTGATTGAAGATGCCACAGCATTTGGTAGCAGCTTTTGCATGGTAGTCCATGTTTTCCCAGGGACCAGAGGAGGAAAAGGGGTTAGTAATGTTGAATGAAATGCTGAAAGAAAGACGTCAAAGTCTGCTTAATATAATGCTTAAAGACAAAGGGCCAGAATTCTCATCACTGTTTAAAAGTTGCAAAAGGGCTGCTGCCACCTTTCTCTCTGGAAATGCCAACCTTTCAATCACTAGTGGTAATGCTCTTTCGACAAACAAGAAAACTTCTACTCAGATCTACAATTTCTACTAACTGGGTAACAAAGACTCAAACGAGTTCCAGTAGGAAGGAAGGAAAAACACAAGGCTGAACATGACATTCCCCTTTACACACACCACTTATGCACTTCCAAATACTTTCACACGTGTTTCTTTTCTTCTCTACTTTCAAAGTGTAGAGAATAACTTCCCCCATAAAGTGCTGAGAGGGAACTCTGTGGCCCTGGAGACACCCACCTCTGGAAAAATTCTTTGCAGCACACATAGTTGTCATAGTTGCTGCTGGACACTGTACTGAGTAGAAAAACAGAGTTGGCTTCAACTCCTCTGGGGACATAGAAGATGCCTAAGAACGAGGGTAATGAGGAAAGCTGCTGCCACAGCGGGAATTTCAAGTTTAAGTCCTTCTGGGACTTCTTTAAATAGTAGCATGTGTCTTCTCCTTTTTAAAATGAACCCCTCTGGAATTTCTTTGAAGATAAGAAGCATGTTGTCTACTTTTCTATCTTTTTTTATTTATTTTTATTTTTATTTTTTTACCACTCTGAAAAGCCTGAGTAAGCTTTGCTTTGGGTACTTAAAAAAAAAAAAAAAAAAAAAAAGTTTCTGATTCTTTTGAACTTTTTCTCCCCCTTGAAAACTGGATGGGTTCCTTTTTGTTCCTTAAGGACTAAACCATATTTCTATGTGTTTCTATCACCAAGACTCAAAGAAGCACCTACCTGCCACACAAGCATTAGGAGACACAAGTCCCAGCGACAAAGACACTCATGACAGTCTCGGAAAAGTCACTCTCCCAGTGGGACACTTTTGAGGCTGCAGGCAACAAGAGAGATTAGGAGAAAGGAACTTAAGGTAGTCATGTGTTCTATATACTACTAGCCTGTTATGAAAAAGTTCCAAAGGATTCTTAATTTATCACTATTAACATCTCTGCCTTCTCTCTTGTAAACTGGCATTTGTTCTGTGTTGTCAGTCTTGGTATCAATCTTGTCTTTTGTGTCTTTTTTTTTTTTTTTTTTTTTTGAGACGGAGTCTTGCTCTGTCACCCAGGCTGGAGTGCAGTGGCCGGATCTCAGCTCACTGCAAGCTCCGCCTCCCGGGTTTACGCCATTCTCCTGCCTCAGCCTCCCCAGTAGCTGGGACTACAGGCGCCCGCCACCTCGCCCGGCTAGTTTTTTTTTTTTTTGTATTTTTTAATAGAGACGGGGTTTCACCGTGTTAGCCGGGATCGTCTCTCGATCTCCTGGCCTCGTGATCCGCCCGTCTCGGCCTCCCAAAGTGCTGGGATTACAGGCTTGAGCCACCGCGCCCGGCCGTCTTTTGTGTCTTAAATATTCAAATATCCTTCTTCTCCACCCATAATCCACTAAATATAGTTAACTATATTCAAAAAAAAAGGAAATGAATGTTATCCAGTAGATACACTCAAGACTTAAAATGTTTTTAAGAGCTCCATCTGAAAAAAATTTGTAACAAAGTATGGAGATATCACTTTGTATTTCTGCTATAACATTACTTTCTATTAAATGTAATTTTGAAATGTCCTCTTTTTAAGAAGATAAATGGATGATAAGGTTCTTTAATAAAAATAAGAAGCAGCACAATAGAAATATATTAGAGCTTCATGAGCCCATGAAGAAATGCTTGTAAATAAATGCAAGTATTGGATGCAAATTACAAATGCTAGTTCCAAATAGAAGAAATGCGGGAAGTAGAGATAGAGGAGTAACTTTCTTATTAGAAAAGTTGTATTAGTCACAGTTCTCCAGAATAACAGAACCAATAGGAGATCTATCCATCTACCTACACATTGTATGTATGTGTGTGTGTGTGTATATATACACACATTGTATGTGTGTGTGTGTGTGTGTGTGTGTATATATATATATATATATAGAGAGAGAGAGAGAGAGAGAGAGAGACAGAGACAGAGACAGAGAGAGAGAGAGAGATTTTCAGGAAGTGACCCGTGTAATTCTGGGAGCTGGCAAGTCTAAAATTTGCAGAGCAGGTCAGCAGACTGAAAATTCAGGTAAGAGTTGAGGCTGCAGGCTTGAGTCCAAAGTCTATAGGGCAGACTGGGCAGACTGGGCAGGCTAAAAGCTCTGGCAGGGTTTTTTTTGTTTTGTTTTTGGCGGGGGTAGGGTGGGTAGGTAGGTCTCACTCTGTCACCCAGGCTGAAGGGCAGTGGCATGATCTCGGCTCACTGCAACTTCTACCACCCTAATTCAAGCAATTCTCCCGCCTCAGTCTCCCGAGTAGCTGGGATTACAGGGGTCCGCCACCACACCTGGATAATTCTTTATTTTTGATAGAGATGGGGTTTCACAATGTTGGCCAGGCTGGTCTCAAACTCCTGACCTCGGGTGATCCGCCCACCTTGGCCTCCCAAAGTGCTGGGATTACAGGCGTGAGCCACCGCGCTCGGCAACTCTGGCAGGGTTTCTATGTTGTAGTCTTGAAGAGAATTTCTTCTTCAGGAAACCTCACTCTTTGCTCCTAAGGCCTTCAATGGATTGAATGAGATCTGCTCACATTATGGAGGATGATCTGCTTCATTCAAAGTCTACTGATTTAAATGCTACTCACATTTTAAAAGTACCTTCACAGCAACATCTAGACTGGTGTTTGACCAAACGACCATGCACCTTAGCCTAGCCAAGTTGACACATAAAATTAACCATCAAGGTAGTCAGGAAGGAGTGTTCTTCTATTTCTTCTTCAGCTCAGGAAGCAAAAAATCTCTGAGACTCAGGGACATAATCAGGTGCACCGAGAAGGTTCCCTAAAGCTTACTCAAGCTTAGCAGTACCAGTCTAGCACTGTTAAAGTATAGTGTGTTAACATTAGGCTGAAAAGAGAGGTTTTGATACCTGACAAAGCTGTTGAAGAGCCCAGAACTCTGGCTTGGGTCCTTAGAAGACCAAATTCATGAATAGTCCTGGTTAAATTGGAAAATTTTGCTCTCCTGAAGATTTGGATAAAATGGGCTGGGCACAGTGGCTCACGCTTGTAATCTCAGCACTTTGGGAGGCCTAGGCAGGTGAGTCACCTGAGGTCAGGAGTTCGAAACCAGCCTGGCCAACATAGCAAAACCACATCTCTACTAAAAATACAAAAATTAGCTGGGCATAGTGGTGTGCACCTGTAATCCCAGCTACTCAGGAGGCTGAGGTAAGAGAATCACTTGAACCTGGGAGGTGGACGTTGCAGTGAGCCAGGATTGCACCACTGCACTCCAGCCTGGGAGACAGAGCAAGACTCCATCTAAAAGAATTTTTAGACAAAATGAAGTAAGCAGGATAACACTAGAATAAGCAATAATTATAGTATTTGAGAATAAGTATAGGATATAATTAATTATAACTAAGTATATATTCTTTGAAACCTCTTCTAATGTGTATAATTCTTTCAATTTAGAGATAATTCTAGGAATTAATTATGTTTAGCTTCTTTAGCAGAATATTATTTGAAAAAGAAAATCAAAAGCATGCCAATCTTTGACCTAGTTAACCATTATCTGTGAGAATGGCATCTAGTGGTAGATTAAGTAATACCTATTTGGAAATGAAACAACTTTTGGAATGTTAGCCTTGCAAATCTAAGCCAAAGCCTATCACGAGATAGCAAAAGTCCAGACCTGTTGTTTTAATGTATTCCTCCTGAACATCTAACTCCTATCTCTTCCTTACTTGTTTGTCTTCTGATTGTCAATCTTCCATAACTTAAAAGGTCCATAATTTAAAACTTCCAATCGGCCAGGTACAGAGGCTTACCCCTTTAATCCCAGCACTTTGTGAGGCAGAGGCAGGCGGGTCACCTGAGGTCAGGAGTTTGAGACCAGCCTGGCCAACGTGGTGAAAACCCATCTCTACTAAAAATACAAAAATGTTAGCTGGGCGTGGTGGCACACGCCTGTGGTCCAAGCTACTAGGGAGGCTGAGGTGGGAGAATTGCTTGAACTCGGGAGGTGGAGGTTGCAGTGAACTGAGATTACGCCACTGCATTCCATCCTGGGTGACAGAGTGAGACCCTGTCTCAAAAACAAAAAACAAAAAACAAACAAACAAAAACTTTCAATGAAGAATAACACGTATTCTTAAGAAACATCCTTTTGTTCCACTTTTCCATTACAAATCCTATAGTCATCTGATTAGGAAGTTTATAGGGAATTCACACTGTTCCTATTTCTATTTCCCTGGTTCCTACTAATTTTTTTTTTTTTTTTTGAGATGGAGTTTTGTTCTTGTTGCCCACGGTGGAGTGCACGGACGCAGTCTCAGCTTACCACAACCTCCGCCTCTTGGGTTCAAGCCATTCTCTTGCCTCTGCCTCCCTAGTAGCTGGGATTGCAGGCATGCGTCACCACGCCCAGCTAATTTTGTATTTTTAGTAGAGGTGGGGTTTCTTCATATTGGTCAGGCTGGTCTCGAGCTCCCAACCTCAGGTGATCCACCCATCTCAGCCTCCCAAAGTGCTGGGATTACAGGCATGAGCCACCGCGTCTGGCTGTGATTCCTACTAAGTTTTATAAATTTAGTATTCATGCTTTTCATTCTATAGAAACAAACTTCCCACCAAGGTCTTCACTTTTTCCATAACTAAATATTCTCATTTCTAAAATTGTCTGTATTCCTACAGAGGTTTAAAAGGAGAAAAGAGAAGTAGGGAGTTTGGTCCTGTGTTCACCGAAGTCTTCTAACATGCTCTGGATGGAGTACAGATTGGTGGATCTACAGAGAACAAAGGTTGTGATGACTTCTGTTCTTACCTGAAAAAGAAAAAATATAAGTGAGAAATTTTGTTCTTCTCACCAAAAGCCTCTCTATCCTCTTAACTGTATGCAAAATACTTAAGAAAAACACAGATTAAGGGATGGGAAATGATCAGAGAAAAGAATAGCAATTCTGTCCTTTATTGGCAGTCTAGTGAAACTGACCTTTTCTTACACTATACATTTGAAAATTATCATGTGATGCTTTTGGAGCCAATAGAATCCCCAGTTCTCTGGGACAGAATGGATTGACTAGGAAAGGAATATATTATCAGTTCTAAAGGGCTGGCAATCAGGGCTGTGGCAATTTCCTTTTTTTCTTTCTCTTTGCACTCTACTTACTTCTGAAAATTTTAGTGCTCATTATCACCTTCAGCAGGGGCTGAAACAAGGAAAAGAATTAAAATTCAAATTAGTAAGCCTTTTTATAGAAGCTTTGCTAAAATATGGAAGAATAAAACTACTCACTATAATTAAAATTTAACTTCCCAGCTGCCATCAATCTTGTCTGTGAAATCAAACAGTTGGTTTGGCATTTGTGAGATTCCATCTTCTGGAATCCCATAAATCCTTTGTTACTAATAATTACAGCTTAAGAAATCAGAAAACACCAGGTAGTTTTCTAGATTTTACTATGACTTCTATATTTGTGCTAAAGCAGTTTTAGGCTTTTTGTGGACTCTGCAAGACTCTTACAAAAAAGCTACTTTAATGAGACAATAGCAATAGTGAAAAAGAGACTAAGAAAACTAATTTTAACAACACAGGCTTCAGAAATATCAGGGCAGAAGGAAACCCTGAGATCTGTCTTCACATCGAAACATTCCTGTGTGGTTTCTATGCCACATTGGAGGGGATTAAGCCGTTCTCCTCCATATTTTACTCTTAACACAGGCTGGTATAGATGCACCTTTATATGCTTCTGTGGGTAGACTACTTATAGAAGAGTACCGTTATTCATTTCCTGCCCATTCTTCTACTCCAGAGAGATGTTTATTCTTATAATGACACAGATGCTGATGGATGACAAGCTTATTCAGAGAAATTCAATCCCCAGCATCTCAGCTGCTGGAGGACAGGGTTGATGCTGCATTGATTGTAGCTTCCAAGAGATTCTGTGCCTTGCTATTGTTAGTGTTAGAAATTATTTTTATTGCACATTTTCTGACAACTGTTAAGAGTCAACAAACAACTCAGCTAGAAAACCCTGCAATACCCTACACAGGGAAAACTGGGAAAAAGTAGTAGAATTCAGGGTCCATTACTTGATAAAAATGAAGATTATTCTAGGAATAACAGAAACAGAGGACTCTACCCAAAGATGAATATGTCAAAATGTCAGAGGGGCTGTGTCAAAAAAGAACCATTTTATTATAATGGGATGCAAATGTGAAGTGGGATTTGGAAGCTACTATATTCCTTTACCATTGGCCAACTTTTTATTCTGAATTTGGACTCTTCCACTTCTAGGTAGATCTGTTTTGACAAGGTAGGGGCTCAAAGTACAGCCAGTTTAAAGGCTGAAGTCAATCTGCAAGGACAGTGTGATAAGGATCAGTTTATTATGCTGAAATTCTTGGTTGGTTCTAAGGTACAGTGGGTAAGGGAGGAGATAAATACACCCATATATACATAGTATTCCTGGTTGGTAGGAATGCTCTGACACCCACTACTATGTCTGAGATGACTTCTGAAAATAAACTGGGATTGAGCTCAATAAATACAAGAACAGAAAAAAAATGGACAAAGTTTATTTTATAAACTTTAAAAGATATTATTTCAATATGTTTTCTTGAAGTATCCCTTACCAGCATATCTAAGCCTTGTCATATCCCACCTAGTGTCAGCATATCAAACAAGAATGCACTTTTATTTTAGGCAATGGGAATGTTGACCCCCCACAAACGGTGCATAGTGATGCTTGTTTATTCTGTTCATTTGGGTAGAGCAAAAAAAAAAATTTTTTTTGAGGCGCGATCTGGGCTCACTGCAACCTCTGCCTCCCAGGTTCAAGCAATTCTCCTGTCTCAGCCTCCCCAGTAGCTGGGATTACAGGCACGTGCCACCATGCCTGGCTAATTTTTTGTATTTTTAGTAGAGACGGGGTTTCACCATGTTAGCCAGACTGGTCTCGAACTCCTGACCTCAGGTAATCAGCCCACCTTGGCCTCCCAAAGTGCTGGGATTACAGGCATGAGCCACGGCATGAGTAAAATTTATCTAGTAGAATTAAAGATAAGCACTGCTGTGCATCTTTCGGCATCCTTGGAATGTACATAAGTCCTTGGGTAACCCACATTGAACCTCGATGAATCTTCAGGAAACTGTAGGATGACAGAGGGGGAGATGGGGTAAAACTATTCTAGCCCACGGCTACCCCAGGAAAGGTCTGCTTTTGCTTCAGTTAGGCTCCAAATATTCTGAGCCAAACTGAATGCTCTGGAATTCTTTAAAGGAAAAAATGCTTGGGTAACCTAGAGTACCGGATATACTGTTCCCCTGGAATTCTCTTTAATAGCTAACACAAGACCAAAGAGAACCTCTTAGCCAAAGACCAGTCCTCTGGGTCTACTCTGAACATTTCAGAGATCCCTGAGCGACCAGACAGACTAGCACTCCCCAGCCTCCCTCTAAAAATAGGACTGAATGGCAGGCCAAGGATACTGAAGGGGTTCTCTAACATCCTTATGATGGTGGCTTCTGAAATACACTGTACTAGAAAGTTAGGCTTCCTTAAGAATAGCCGGTCATACTCAGGCAACGTTCCCAGGGATAAATTAGATTAGATGAAAATAACACCATAATTAGGGTACTTATGTTCTAGAAATTCAATAGGAAATTATCCTGGGGTTCTCATGCTTTTACCTTGGTTTTCCCCAAAGAGTCAAAGTGCTTATTAAGGCTGGGCACAATGGCTCACACCTGTAATCCCAATACCTGGGGAAGCTGAAGCTGAAAGATTGCTTGAGGCCAGGAGTTAGAGACTAGCCTAGGGAACATATCAAGTCTCTACAAAAAAAAAAAAAAAAAGAAAAGAAAAAAGCCAGATGTGGTGACACATGCCTGCAGTCCTAGCTACTTAGGAGGCTGAGGAGGGAGGATCACTTGAGCCCAGGAATTTGAGGCTGCAGTGAGCCATGATTACACTGCTGCACTCCAACCTGAGCAACAAAGTAAGACCCTACCTCTAAAAAATAAAAATAAAAAAAAAGTGCTTATTAAAACTAAAACTAGTAAGGAAATTCCTACATACATGTTCCAGATTCAGTACTCTGGAAAAGACAGGTAAATAACCGTATCACATGCCTGATATGTTATATTAGATGTCTTAAGTTTTCTCAGTGGAATGGTGTCTGAGGCTCTGGCTTTCACTCAAAGCTTAACAAGTAGTTCTTATCACAAAATACACATAGCACCCATCACACTTCCTGCAATGATAGCAAAGTCACCAGCCACCAAGGGTAGATTTCAGAGAGTATCTATCTGCAACGTATGCACAGGTCAGTAGACGCATCTCTGACTGCTAACAAGAAAGATTATCAGGGTCAGGATGTGGGCAGCCACAAATTGAAGAACACTGACTGCTCTGCTCATGAAACAGCCCCGGAGATAGAAGCAGCAAGTTATTTTAGTGTGAAAACCTCAATTTGGAAAGTCAGGTACTGGATCACTGGCTCCAGGTGAACTGAACAGTAAGGATGAATTTCTGTCATTGTGGAAATTTTTTACAAGAAAATTATCAAAAAACTTTCTATATCCATCCAAAACAGAGTTTGGGGGACTCTGAAACGTGTTTATGAAAATATCTGAGGTTAACTAATAAAAAATTCGCAACCAGGCGCAGTGGCTCATGCCTGTAATCGCAGCACTTTGGGAGGCTGAGGCGGGCAGATCATGTGGTCAGGAGATCGAGACCATCCTGGCTAACACGGTGAAATCCCGTTTCTACTAAAAATACAAAACATTAGCCGGGCGTGGTGGCAGGCACCTGTAGTCCCAGCTATTCGGGAGGCTGAGGCAGGAGAATGGCGTGAATCCAGGAGGTGGAGCTTGCAGTGAGCCGAGATCACACCACTGCACTCCAGCCTGGGTGACAGAGGGAGACCCCGTCTCAGAAAAAAAAAAAAAAAAAAAAAGGTATTTGCCATACCCACAAGAAAGTTAACTCAATTTCCCATTTGCAGACTACCACCCTGAGGTGATTTATGGACTCACTAGCTATCTCATCATGTAGACTTTTTATCCAACCACAAGAGCTAAATCAGCTTTTTTCTTTCCTTTTGTTTTTTTGAGACAGTGTCTCACTCTGTCACCCAGGCTGAAGTACAGCGGCATGATCACAGTTCACTGCAGCCTTAACCTCCTGGGCTCAAGCGATCCTCCCGCATTAGCCTCCCGAGTAGCTGGAACTACAGGCGTGCACCGCCATGCCCAGCTAATTTTTTGTGTATTTTGTAGAGACAGGGTTTCACCATGTTGCCCGGGCTGGTTACCAACTCCTGGGCTTAAGTGATCCTCCCACCTCAGACACCCAAAGTACTAGAATTACAGGCATAAGTAACTGCTCCTGGCCAAATATGTTTCTTTCTAAACTAATATTTTTCTTCCTCTATTGTAATGAAAGCCAAGCCTCTTTGTTTGCTTAATAACCATAAGAGTAAATTACCAGTCTACAGCAAGCATTCTAGAGAGTGAAGGAAAGACATGGTATTAACTACTCCTCTACACTGAGTTATGTGAAAGGATCAGAGAAACCTGGTTTTTTCTTCTATTTTTTTAATTCAAAACTGGCTTTTATTCACAAGCAGTTGCATAGACCTTCCCATCAACATCACTGGTGTTTTCCAATGCCAGACAAGGAATTGGAAAGGAAACAAAGGTCAAGTATATAATACACATGAATAAGGAAATTTGAATTGACCATTTCTCCCTAGGATTCTTTTTTTTTTTTTTTTTTTTTTTTTTTTTTTTTGAGACAGTCTTGCTCTGTCACCCAGGCTGGAGTGCAGTGGTGCAATCTCGGTTCACTGAAACTTCCACCTCCTGGGTTTAAGCGATTCTTATGCCTCAGCCTCCTGAGTAGCTGGGACTATAGGTTCATACTACCATTTTTTTCATTTTTTTGCATTTTTAGTAGGGACAAGGTTTCGCCATGTTGGCCAGGCTGGTCTCGAACTCCTGACCTCAGATGATCTGCCCGCCTCAGCCTCCTTCAAAGTGCTGGGATTACAGGCATGAGCCACCAAGCCCTGCCTTTCTCTGACTCTTAAGACTCCATCTTTTCGTTCTTTGATTCTTTCATTCTTTGAACCCAGACAGAGAAAGACTCCGTGTGGCTCATTCATCATCTAATTCTTGCTAATGCGCCTTCTACTGATAAAGAAAGTTGAGGGTTAACAGCATCAAAAGCCAATGTGTTTCTACATGTAGGCCTACAGTCAGTACCACATGGACAATAATAACTTACACGTCTAAGTCACTTTGTAATTTACAAAGTACTTTCACAGCCCTCTCATTTGCTCTTCTTAATACCCTGTATGGTAGACAGGGATTATTGGCCTAGCTTTAAGGACAAGACTGAGGCTCAATGAGATTAAGTGACCTGCCCAAGGTCACACACTCAAAAAGCAATAAAGACAAGAACTCAGGTCTTCTGACATCCAGCCCAGTGCATTGTCCCACTGTACCATCCTAATGAGATGTGTCTCTAATGAAATGGGCTCTTAGCCGCTAAATCTGCCTTTAGAAATATCCAGTGCATGAGCTTATACTGTAGACGACAGGTGTCACGCGGCCGAAGAAAATAATTGATGAAACCTATGGAAAGAACCAGTGACAAAGTTCTATAGTTTTCTCAACGGGTTATTTCTTTTAAAAAATAAAAGAAGGAGTGCCATTATGCAAAGCATAAAAATTTTTAATGACTCTAGCACCCCTTCTTTTTCCTGGGACCCTGTTCTTTTCCTCAATTAATACTGAGGCTAACTTGCAGTTCTAAGTGAAATCAGTCTGGATGGATCTGTTAATGCCTTGCTGCGTAAGCTGTAGCGCATGGATGGTAGACAGATAGCATAAACATAATTCAGGAGCTTGTTAGAAATGCAGATCCTTTGTAGATAACGATAAGGGAGAAAAAACAATCCAGATTCTTAGACCAGATTCTCACCCTAGACCTATTGAATAAGAATTTCAATTTTAACAAGATTCCGTAAGTGATGCATGGGCACACTTGTCTGAGAAACACAATCTTAATACATATTTACAGACACATGCCAATGTCATACTGAAAATGATGCCATAGTAGCACGTTCATTAACAAACAAACAAACGAAATACAAGGTCTATTTCAGAGTAAACGTGTAGTATAGAATGACAGAAATAATTTGTAGGTCAAAAGATATGTGAAAATCGAAACATTTGACTTAGGTTCTGGCTAACTCAGGTAGTTCAAATGACCATGAGATGTTGAAGTCATGTTGGTTACCATATTAATCATACATGGTAAAAACATACAAACAGTCATTCCAAATAATTTTCTTAGTAGTATAAGCAGCAAATATACTGGGAAAACTTCCCATTTTCACATCCCCCTTACATTCACAGAATTTACCCTCTGGAAAGAGCCTACAGTCACCTAGCCACATATTTCTCTGCCCTGGCTGAATATTAAAATCATTTGAGGAGGTTTTAAAATCTGTGGTGGCCCCATCTCCAGAGGTCCTATTTGATTATCTAGGATAGGGGTCTTGGCTCCCCTGATTTAAATATGTAACCAGGGTTAAAAACCACTGCCTACTCAACTCCTTCACTGTACAGTTTAATTAAAATAGTACCAATATAGCATGTTTAAATAAAAATATTCATCAATAGGGAATGATTTATATAACCTGAAACTTGTTGACCAAGTGAGAGACTTAACTGTTTCAACAAGTGTTTACCATTTACCTTTGTTTTGTTTTGTTTTGAGATGGAGTCTCGCTCTGTCACCCAGGCTGAAGTGCAGTGGCTCAATCTCAGCTCACTGCAACCTCCACCTCCCAGGTTTAAGTGATTCTCCTGCCTCAGTCTCCCGAGTAGCTGGGATTACAGGAACTTGCCACCATGACCAGCTAATTTTCTATTTTTAGTAGAGACGGGGTTTCACCATGTTGGTCAGGCTGGTCTCAAACTCCTGACCTTGTGATCTGCCCACCTCGGCCTCCCAAAGTGTTGGGATTACAAGCGTGAGCCACCATGCTCAGCCCTTTTTTTCTTTCTTTTTTTTTTTTAAAGTAACTATTTTTTTTTTTAAGGAACTAAAATAAAGGTCTTCTTTGTCCTTTAACTCTAAACAAAAATTAACCTTCCTAACCTTTCTTTGGAAGAATTATTACCCAAATATTTACCTAAAGGAGCTGACATTGGGAAGTTTCAAAAGACTGTAACTTGAAATAACATCACTGACTTCCATTTTTTAACTTTCTCTTAACCGAAATGACTTTAGCATACATTCAAATAGTTAGAAGAGCTCTTATAAGTAGCTTACAAAATTAAAAAAACAAATGAGAATAAAAATATGAGGCAAACAGGAATTGTGGTGATTCTTTTTTTTTTTTTTTTTTTTAAATGACTGCACCTTTTTTGACACACCTCCCACCAAGGGTGGGGTCTATTCCTGTCCCTTGGCACTGAGCAGGCTTGAGATTGCTTTAATAGAGCAGGGATCTGCAAACTATTTCTGTAAAGAGCAAGACAGCAAACATTTTAGACTGCAAACTATACGATCTCTATTGCAACTAACTCACTCTGCCATTGTAGTGTGTAGTGTGAAAGTACATAAATGATTAAACATGACTATGTTCCCATAAAACTTCATTTTAAAATTTTATTGTTATTTTTTGTTTTTGAGATAGAGTCTCACTGTGTTGCCCAGGCTAAAGTGCAGTGGTATAATCCCGGCTCACTGCAACCTCCGCCTCCCACGTTCAAGTGATTCTCCTGCCTCAGCCTCCTGAGTAGCTGGGATCACAGGCACAAGCCACCATGCCTAGCTAATTTTTGTATTTTTGGTAGAGACGGGGTTTCACCATGTTGGCCAGGCTGGTCTTGAACTCCTGACCTTGTGATCTGCCTGCCTCAGCCTCCCAAAGTGCTGGGATTACAGGCATGAGCCATCGCACCCAGCCAAAACTTTATTTTGAAAGAAGACATCGCAGATGGATTTGGCATTGGGCCATAGTTTGCTGATCCCTGCAACAGAATATGGAAGAAGAGATGCTTTGTGACTTCTGAGACTAGGCTATAGAAGGCCATGCAGCTTTTGCCTGGATCTCTGGGAACCTTCACTCTTGGGAAGCTCCCTCTTGGAGCTTGACCACCATTCTGCAGGAATCTCAAGCCATAGAGAGAGGCCATATGTAAGTTCTGTGGTCAGCAGCCGCAACTGAGCCCAGCCTTCGTGTCATTCCAGCCCAGGCACTGGATCTGTGAGTGAAGAAGCCTCCAGATGGTTCCATTTCCAGCCTTTCAAGTCACCCCTCAGCATTTGAGTCATCCTAGCTGAGGCCCCGGACATCATGGAGCAGAGACAAAATATCCGCACCATGCTCTATCTGAATTCCACTAGGATAATAAAATTGTTGTTTTCATGTTGCTAGGTATAGAGGTGTGGTTTGTTTTGCAGCAGTAGATAACTAGAACAGGGACTGACTAAAAATCTAAGAGCACACAAAGAAGGCTAAAAATCTCAGAAAAGAAAGTTGGAGTCAAATAATTCAATTGAAAATATTTATGCATTTTTTCAAAAACAAGTTATGCTTTTTATTTTTTATTTTTATATTTTGGTGGTCTTTATAAACTAATTAAATGGTTTATAGAAATCTTGTCTCTGGAGGTGAAAAACAGCAGTTTGTTCCTTTCTTCCTGTTGGTCTATTTTGTATTTTTTGAATTAAATCTATTAAGAATTTGTACTTAATTGGGGGAGAACTGCTTCAGATATTTTTGTATTTCTGCTTGGATGAAATATAGCATTGGCTAAAATTTTAAAATTAAAACTGTAAGCTCTCTATCTGGGTTTGGATATACTTTTATGTGTCTGTGAATGTGTAATATTTTCTTACCTCCAGATGATATTGACACAATACTTTTTTCTTGGTCACTTTGGCAGCCGAGATCTCCAGCCAGCGACGTACCACTCCCCAGCCTGGACCTCCCTTGGCCGTGCTACCCGCTGCAGGAGGCACCCCACCCACTTGGCCCACCCCAGCTGAGTCTGGCTTGCATACCGGCTCAGCCCAAGGAGGCTAGACCAGGCACACCCCAGCAGACAGCCCACCTGTATTATAGCTCGTACCTGAACTCTTGTCCTGCATCCAAGAAGAATGAGGAGGATACGCTGACAGTTGAAGGGTGAGGGTGGTCAGAGAAGCCAATTTATGCCTTTTAAATGTCATCTATTTAAAGGAACTTTTAATATCTTGCTCAGATGAATAAACAAACACTCCAGTGTAGTAGTCAATCAAAAAGAATTAAATGAAGATGAAATCAGGACACTGAAACAAAATTAAAACAAAAAATATTGATAAAACTTCTGAACAGGAACAAAAACATAAACCCATGACAGCAAGACTCAGAAGCTCAATGCAGTAAAAGAGAGTGAGGAACAAGGTGAAAACATTTTACTTTTAACCCTTGAAGAGAAGAAAAACAAATAATACCCAAAATCTTTATTTAAATGTTTATTCTTTTGAGAAAACAAAACCTACCTCTGGATGGACATGAGTCTGATTAAATCTGGGAAGGTCTCTTTACTCCTGATATCTTTCAAACATTGCTAAGGTACCAGATAAATTCTGGTGACGAGGTCCTGAGAAAGCCCTTTGAGGCAACAGTGTCTTTCCAGCTGTTCTGCTGGAAAACATCAGGAACAGCTGCTAGAGATCTGTGAGAGCTGCCTTTGGGAAGAAAGCCCCAGGAAGTAAGGGAGTCATACTTCTTTTCTGTGATCACTGATGCTGTGGTGGACATAGCAGAGAAAGAACACCAGCTCGGGACGGTGAGGTTTATTGATGAGTCTCTTACCTGACAGAGAAATATGTGAGCTTCTTCCTCGTGAAGCTGATGCAGCCATTTTGGTTGTGTGATCTCACACTACAAAAATCCAGAAGTGGGGCTAAATGTGGAGTACTGTTGTGGCCAGGTGTACGTTATGGCCAATAGATTTTCTTCAGAAATGGAGGTTGCTGCTTCAAGACTTTAACTGAAATATCCCCACACTATCTACACATTCTGCTCTTCCCGTGTCTTGAATATGTGGTTGGCAGGCCAGGCATGGTGGCTTATGCCTGTAATCCCACACTTTGGGAGGCCAAGGTGGGAGGATCACTTGAGGTCAGAAGTTCGAGACCAGCCTGGTGAACATGGTGAAACCCCGCTGGGTGTGAAAACACAAAAATTAGCTGGGTGTGGTGGCAAGCACTTGTAATCCCAGCTACCAGGGAGGCTGAGACAGGAGAATTGCTTGAACTCGGGAGGCGGAGGTTGCAGTAAACCAAGATTGTGCCACTGCACTCTAGCCTGGGCAACAGATGGAGACTCTGTCTCAAAAAATAAAAAAAATTAAAATTAAAAAATTAAAAATTAAATATGTGGTTGGCAAAATCAGTGCCTATTATGGGGATATCTGTTGTATTATGAAGGATTGAGGAAGTTTGTTATTCATCCTTCACCACAACTGCTTTTAGAACTTGACTATGTAATTTCTGTCCTTTCTCAGAACAACAAAGAAAGGAATAATGAATTGAAGGTGATTTGTTATTCTCAATGGACAGATAGGCATGATGCTTTTGAAATGTTACTGGATCTCCTGCCAGCATTTGTTTTATATTTAGAGACATAAATGGTGGCACAAGTCTCAGATGACATAACTGTACAGCTGGCTAAGCATTCGTACTCTGCAGTGCATTCATGTATTTTAATTTCTTTTTTTTTTTATTAATAGAGACAGGGTCTCACTATGATTGGCCAGGCTGCTCTCAAACCCCTGGGCTCAAGTGATCCTCCCACGTTGGCCTCCCAAAGTGCTGGGATTCAGGTGAGAGCCATCACTCCCAGCCTTGATTTTATTTTTATAATTGTTCTTAAAAATATCTTATCTTACAAGAGGCTTTGGGAAAAAAATCTCTAGGGGGAAAATCTCTGATGTTTTCTTTGCAGCCAGCAGCTTCATGGTGGTATTGTATCACTAATGAAGTATCGGTGACAAAAGTATTCATGACAAAACTTGTCGTGAATTTGAGGAAGCCATGAATTTGTTAACCGATCTTGATATTCAAATAAAAGTCTCTGGGAAATTCTGCAGAGCTCAGCAAGGTAACCTAGAATCTCAACGAACCTCTGAGAGTTACTATAAGGAATCTCTGTGTGTTCCAACAGTGTAGCACATTACTCTGGAACTCAAAGATTTATTCTCAGAACAACGTCTCATAGCTCACAAATGCTGATCTCTGGCACCTTGTGTCATGGGAAAGCTCAAATTCGACACATCGGAGAAACACTAAGCTGACTTTAGCTGAAGTGACTGAGCCAATCGGAACATGCTCTCAGCCAGTTTCACTGCTGGAGAATCAAAGTGGAAACACAGAGGGAAAGAAGCAGAGCATCCATCCGCATGTTTGAAGCCCTCTATGTGCCTGACATCAATAAAACTCCCTAATGTGTATACATTGTTGAAAGTCCTGTGTATTCTTCCTATAATGAAGATTGAGAGTGAACACTATGAAGTAAACGAAAGCATCTCAAATTATAGCTGAGGAAAACTTTGACAGGTTAAATAACTTGGTTTTACTTAGCATAAATTTTGATATAAGACATGATCTGGATTTAACTGTAGATGCACATATCAAACTCTATACAGCAAGTAAGAACTACCTACAGGTGATTCAGAAATAATTAAAAATACCTCAAAGGATGTTTATTTTATTTTATTTTATTTTTTGTTTGTTTGTTTTGAGACAGAGTCTCTGTTGCCCAGTCTGGAGTGCAGTGGCATAATCTCACTGCAGCCTCCACCTCCTGGGTTCAAGTGATTCTCCTGCCTCAGCCTCCCCAGAAGCTGGAATTACAGGCACGCACCACCATGCCCAGCTAGTTTTTTGTATTTTTAGTAGAGATGCAGTTTCACTATGTTGGCCAGGCTGGTCCCAAACTCTTGATATTTGGAGGAAAAATTTGAAAGATGTACAAGCGTGGAATTCCATTTCTGCATACTCTCTGGTGCTGGCACTCTGGAATCCCTTTTTTTTTTTTTTTTTTTTTTTTTTTTTGAGATGGCACAGTCAGGGCTCACTGCAGCCTCAATCTCCCAGGCTCAAGTGATTCTTCCTCCTCAACCTCCTGAGTAGCTGGGACTACAGGCACGTGCCACCGTTCCTGGCTAATTTTTGTATATTTTGTAGACATGGGATTTTGCCCTGTTGCCCAGGCAGGTAGAATTGTTTTAAAATAATTTCAGATACAGCATTTAGTATCACTGTGGATCCAGTACTTTGAAGTTACGTTAGTTATCAGTACTTTGAAGGAATAAATTTTGGGTAGGTATAGGAGGAATGAATACGTTTCATAAAATGTCACAGTGAATCTTACAACACACCTTTCACTAGTAGGACTTTTCAGTACACTGTTAAAAACCCTTCACATGGCCGGGCGCGGTGGCTCACACCTGTAATCCCAGCACTTTGGGAGACCGAGGCAGGTCGATCACAAGGTCAAGAGATTGAGACCATCCTGGCCAACATGGTGAAACACAGTCTCTGCTAAAAATACAAAAATTAGCTGGGCGTGGTAGCACATGCCTGTAGTCCCAGCTACTCAGGAGGCTGAGGCTGGAGAATCAGTGAACCTGGGAGACAGAGTCTGCAGCGAGCCAAGATCGTACCAATGCACTCCAGCCTTGTGACAGAGCGAGGCTCTGTCTCAAAAACAAAACAAAACAAAACAAAACAAAACAAAAACAAAAACAAAAAAACAAAAAAACCCTTTAACGCACAGTTAGGGGAATTACCAGAGAGTGAGAGAAGCAGTGAGTTCACCCAACAAGGGTGGCATTGTAGGTCTGATCTTTATCAAGTGACCCTAAATTAACAAGTTTGAATGGAAGAGCCTGGCATCATTGTTCTCCTTCTGCTTGTTGCTGTTTGCATTCCTTTGTCGAGCTGATGTTTTCCTGTGTCATAAGCTTTTCATCAGGTGTATGTGGAACACTTTAGTTTCATGGTCAAGACAGAATCAGAAGCACTGGTTACAGACAGCTGATGTGTCTGGTCTCTTCTTTTTTCATAACTATGTCTACTTCCTTATCTAGATTAAAATCAAAACCTGAAAAACTGACTACAATAAATGTTTTGTGGTTTATCTATAAATATGATAGAAAATATGGCTGTTATTTTTGGTCAGAAATATCAATTTTGTACAGCTTATTTCAACCTAAATAAAAGGGAACTTAAAAACATTTTTGTTTTAAAAAACATTTCTTTATTGACTTCTACTACCAGAGTGGCTATTGAGAAGTCATTCCGATTCTTTACCCTTTCCCGTGATTTTATTTTCCTCTCTATTAGCTTCTTTCTGTCTCCAATGTTCTGACATTTTATAATAATGTGCTTTGGTGTATATCTTTATTTTGCCTGCTATGCTGGGTTCTCAATGGGTCCCTTGAAATTAGGAATTCATTCACTTCATTTCTAATATTGTTGAATTATTTATTTTCTTTCTCTGAAAGAGTTTAGTTATTGTCTAAAGACTTAGAATCAATAGAAAGAAATATCTGCGTTAAGATAAGGGGTTGTGTAGACCAAGGCTTTATCATGTAGGTGAAGCCTCCAGGTAGCAGGCTTCAGAGAGAATAGATTGTAAATGTTTCTTATCAGACTTAAAGAGTCCGTTTTATCAGTAATTCCAAAAGGGAGGAGGGTAGAATGAGGCATGTCCAACACCCACTTCCCATTATGGCTGGAATTTTCAGGTCAACTTTGGAATGCCCTTGGCCAAGAAGAGGGGTCCATTCAGATGGTTGAGGAGGCTTATAATTTTATTTTTGGTTTACAGTAGGTTGCCAGGCATATCCATTTAAACTTCTCTGGTACAGAAGTGATTTCTCCTTTGGTTGCTATCCTTACTTTTATACCTATGTTTTGGCCAACTAATGTATACTGAAAATATAAAAAGAGCATACAGGTTTCAATGATGAGTTACTTTGTTGATAAAGAAGCTTGTGGGTGCAGTGTTAGCAAAACCTTTTCTCTCCTACGTGAAAATGTGACTTTTGGATAACTTTCTACCTCTTTTCCACTGGCAGCCTGATAAGGACTGTGATACTGTGATATCATAAGAAATACATATTGGGTCTTCAGCCCCAGTTTCTGGTACAGAGAATCTAAAATTCTTGTAACTTCCCGAGTGATAGGAGTGACAGGAGCATCTTCTGTTAAAATGGTTGGTTTTTATCCCTGGTTCCAGGCACAGAGCTTCTAAAACTCTTTGAATTTTCTGAGCA